TATGTATTGGTCTCCTTTGGGCAGTATGTATTAATTATGTTACTCAGCTGAAGAATATTTATAATGGATGAGGGTGTCAAATAATCTGATTCTGCTTCATGCTTATAGAAATGCTTATTATGCAAAGAAGAGAGAATGGGAATAACTTTCTACATTGATACTCTTAGGAATGTTAATAAGTTACATTTGTGATCTATGAAGAATCACTATTTTTTGTCTCAACCCATAAAACCTAGAGGGCATGGGTGATGGTATAATCTCTTCAAAGAGAGAAATCTTCCTACCTTGCTCAGTATGGTGATCATTCCTTGGGGGAAACTTAATTGATGTAGCTAACTGCTAGGAGAGTTTGTTTAAATGTAGTTAAGACAATTCTTCCCTAACTCTACCCAGCATTATTCTTTAGAAAGTCACGTCAAGTCTATGTGTTATGTACCTACTACATGTACACAAACATACACACACACACACACACACACACACACACACACACACATATATATATACACACACACATATATATATATATACACACATGCATACACAGAGACATGTCTATATCTACAGATCTATATCTATACCTATACATATACAGAGATGCATATGTAAAAATCATATATACACACCCACCTCGGTGTGTGTGACTTTTAGGATACTCAGCACGCATGTATATACACACATACACAAACTTCTATGATGCAACAACCTATCCTGGGATAGTCTTAATGGAGAAGGGAAGTATAGTGCAAAAAAGAAAAGGAAGTTAGTTTATCCTGGGCCTTGCCCTGTGCATTCAGCTTTTCCTCCTATATGTGTTGCCTTACCCTATTAGAATGTGAGCTCCTTCAGAGCAGGGACTGTCTGTCTTCAGCACTTAGCACCACGCTTGGCACAGAGTAAGAACTTAGTGAATACTTTTTCATTCAGCCATTCATCTCCCTTATGTGGCCTAAAGGCTATAATGAAAGCTTTCCTAAGCCTAGACAAGAGATTAAGTTTAAATTATTTTACAACATTTGAACTGTTTTTTTTAAAGGAATGAACAAGATCACCAAGAATCATTTTGAAAATAACTAATCTTGTTTTCTGTTGAAAACAGGCCTCAGATATAAGACACCACCTGGAGGAACAAATATAACTCAACTTATAATCAATAGACACCAGTTTCATAAGGGAAAAACAAGTGGCTAAGGCAAAACAGTAAGCTTTGTAAATACAAGGTGTGTACTGCTTTTGGCGTCCATGCAAAAAAAATCCATGCAATGGAATCATGCCCAGTGGTTTCCTACCTGAGACACTGATTTAACTTAAACCCAAGTTTTCTGCTTTTCAACCAAGATTTCACTGTAATGATTTCTTTCTGAATTGCATTGTTACTGAGTGAACTAAAATAGTATATGCTGTATACTGTATACCATAATTGAGTGAATCCAAACCAAAGATTATGTGCCCAGAAAAGCTTGCAAAAAAGGAGAAAAGATGGAAGGAAAGAATAATGGAAAGAAGAAAGGAAGAAGAGAAGGAAGGAAGGGAGGGAGGGAGAGAAAGAAGGAATAGAAGAAGTGCAAGGAAGAGAGGAAAGGAGGGAGGAAGGAAGGAAGTAAATAGGAATAGAGGAAAGGAGGGAGACAGAGAAAGGACAGAGGGAATGAGGGGAGTGAAAGAGAATGAAATGAAAGAAGAATAAATATATTTTCTATTTTCATTGATTTGAAAATTCCTGTTCAGGTTTTTTATAGACTCTTCTTACACTTGCTCCCTGCCTACCTTACAGAAGAAACATCAGTAAACACATTAGACACATTCTATATATCTCTAACTTCACTTCCACTAATCTTAACATTCGTTTTTAAACATCAAAAAGTATAATACAATTATAGTTATGTATATGACATTGCATGATAAATAGAGAACTGCCCTCAAAGTCAAGATGACTTGAATCTAAGTCTTGCTTCTGACACTGTGGGAGCCAGGAATGTACTTGAGCCATTTTGTACTAGCAAGACCTGATTGTTAAATTTTCAGTGTGAATATTTATACTTCAGAAATTGGCAAGTACTAAAAGTCAGAGTTTTATTTGTTTTCTTGAATGTTTAGAATTAAGAAATGATGGGGAAATGTTAATAATGCAGAGTAAAGTTAAAAGAATGTCATATCTGGGGGGACTTCCCCTCCCCCCTCCCAGAAATACATTTGTTAAACATTTACCAGCACACTTCTCCCTTCCTCCTTGTCCACTCTGGGCAAGTGATTAACTTCCCAATCCCTCAGGCAGCTATACAGAACTAAAAGTTCAGAGCAGGCTTCAAGCTGCGTGGATAGAGTCACTTCACTAGGAATTCTTAATGCCAATGACATCTTGTCCCCTTCTCTAAAAACAAATACAAAAATCTTGAAACTAAGTAAAATTTAAACTTAGAAAATGTTATTACATCTTATGTGAAGTTTGTATACATGCATTTATAATTTTACTTTTTATCACTAAACCAAGTTCCCAATTTCTAGTTTCAAACATTAATTATATGTGTGGGTATGGCTGAAAGAAAGTAAACCTCTCTGACTTATATCACAAGACAGTATCATATATACCCAGGCCTGGAAAAATACCTAGACTCTACAACAGTCCATAAAAATGCCATTCAGTTAAGGGCATGCATTTAGATGCAAATAAGTCTTTTAAACATTTAGTTTGTTAAAGCATTATCATGGGCATTCATAATAAATGCACACACAAAAATCCTTCAAACTTAGGGAAAATTTAGATTTAGGGGCCAATTTATTTTAAAGTACCTTGGACAGCAATTTTATTCATTTGAAAATAGTAGCCTTTTTTTTTTACAATACATTCTTTCACATAGTTACAAATTCCAAAAGATACCTTAAGAATATATGACAACATATGCACATAATATGCTTTTTTCTTTTTTTTTTTACTTTGTAATTAAATTCCAACATTTAAGTTTATGATATGTTTTCTTTTCCTTTTCTTTATTCTGTATTTGTGTTCTGGTGATTGAGTCTAAAATATTTTTTTTAAAAAAAGAGTATATGACAACAATTTAAGAAAACAGAAGAAGAAAAACTTGTCGTTATCTCAGCCTAATTTCTAAATTCCTCTAGACCTCATAAACCAGGAAGATCTACTCCCAGGGAGCATGTGATACAAGGTAGTAAATATCTTCCTCACTCGGTGTCCCCAGATGTCACAGAATTTCTGGGCAGTGAATAGGCCTCAATCCAACCCACCAATCTCCTCCCCTACATTTCAGCTGGATAATCTCTGGCCCCAGTTCCTTCCACTGGCTGGGAAAACTGGAAGACAAGTCATGCTGACAAGGGCATTGAAGTTTCTGTTTGGCTGCTCTAAATCTTCACACCAGTACTGCCCAGGCTGGAGTACAGTGAATACACCTTCGGCAATTCAATGTTCTCACAAAAAATCCTTAGAAAATTCAAAAGCTGGGCTGTCCTCTCTTTAGAGACACTGTAGCCACCTGATCACATGCTTTCAATGACATAGGTCAAAGAACAAGGAAGAAGCTGGAAGCTATACAAATTACATGAATAGCAGCGAGGAGGAAGAGATGGAACATTTCATTACTGGGTCAAACTGGATTAATATGTTGCTTTTTTTAGATTCATCTCTGAAACAAAAAACCACACAAAACTTTGAGCTCATTATAATGGGTCTCACTCTCATTTGTGTGGTGCATTTGAGCTTTTTAACCACAGTATCAAAATGTAACAATTAAGTCACATTCCAATACTGATAGTACAGAAGTGGCAAGAGGAAAGAATAGCAGTAAAAAAAATTTCTTTAGGCAAAATATGACAGAAAAGGAGTCCTTATAACAAATGTTGGCAGGAAACTTAACCAAACAATCAAAGTTATATCTACACTGGCCAAGTCTTTCTTGCTTTTCATGAGAGATTAGTCATCATTTGAGATACACAATTTGTGATTATAAAGTATTGAACCGGCATTATAACCACCAGAACCTATATATCTATGAGAGTATAGTGCTCCAAAGTAGTCACCTTGGAGTCTTGACACTTATTCTAAAGGTATTGATGTGTTCCACAACATTTTAGCAATTCCTTTTAAAGAAAAAAAAATGTTTTCAGGAGCAATTTATGAGCGAGAAAAGAAAATCAGTCTTGTTATTTTATACTCACACAAAAAGTTACTTATTTAACAAACAAACAAAAAAATCCCTCAGCATGATCACCCACCTCATTTAACAGACTTGGATCCAAATGACTATTGTTTTTCTGTTCCTTCCAACACCCACCCCATCCCCATCTATCCCCCATCTACAAATGAAGATTTGACCTATTAAAAATATTTAGAAATTGTGCCACAGCCTTTAATGGAAATTCTAGAAGTTCCAAAGTTATTTAAATAATGGGAGCATCATTAGAATAAAAGTAGTGCTTTTCATGGCTACTCCTTGAAGAGATGACTTATTTTAGTATAGATGTTCTGGTTTATTTATCTAAAAATTATAATATTGTCCTATAGTCCCACTTCATGTATACCCAAGGAAATTACCTTTATGCTGTTTTTCACTATGGAACTTTGGAATTTTATATTTTAGTTTAGCTAAGCATGTAAGTTTTTTTACTTATTTGTCACAAAAAGGGAAGATCAGAGAAGCTACTGAAATTGTTAAATGCTCTTAAAAGTTGTTCTAAAGGTGCAGGTAGGTGGCACAATGGATAGAGCACCCAAAGGTGCTGGAGTCAGGAGGACCTAAGGTCAAAACCATTCTCACACCAGACACTTGACACTTACTAGCTGTGTGACCCTGGGCAAGTCACTTAACCTCAATTGCCTTGTCTCCCCCCCACCTCCAAAACAAAAGTTGTCCTAAAAACAAATTTATTTCAATTGCGTGACCTTTTTTTAAATTTCACTTAAAATATATCAATTGTATGAAATTTAGTCTGTATTGTTTCATTCCCCCAATTATCAGGGTCTTTTTCCCCCCAGTACTTACGCCATGATGCCTGAGAGGTGAAACATTTCTGCTGTGATGTATGATAAGTAGCTGTATAGGAAGACAAAGAGTGGCTCAATCACTCGGATATTGTGCGTGAAACGGGTGGTAAATGCTGCTATAAAGCCCAGCAAGATTCCAATCACTATCCCCCCGATTCCAACCACAAAGAAGTTAGCGATTCCAGCAAACACATCAATGGTCTCAATTGTTTTCATCTGGCAAAAAGACTTAAACAAATTGTACAGCACCTGTGGAAGACAGAAATTGCATCAGTTATTACCAATGGTCCTTTCTAATTTCTCCATTATTTCTCTAAGTTCAGGAGAGAACCTTACCTTGGCCTTCCAATGAGAAACTCTCTCTTGTATTGTTCCTTGTTATTTCATACCTTTAAGTCTTCAATTAAAGTTCAAACTCCCCAAGGGTAAAATCATGCTATATTTCTCCTTTAACCCCACAGAGTCCAAATACAATGGGAATGGGATAGTGGTATAAAGTTTTAAGAAGCGACTAGCAGCATGGAATTGATCAAAGTAAGTCTGTATCCCTTTTCCAGTTTTTTCTAGCACTTTATATCATCTAATTATTTAAAGGTGTGCTTAATTTTCAATATGGTCCCTTTTCATTTTCAAAATGGTAACACTGAGTCATAGAGGTTTTATTTTGGGCCAATGGATCACAGGATACATTTTGATCATTCTCACTGTTGGTGTGGATACCACTGCAAAGTTGGAAATGAACATCTTAGCTAGACAAATTACTCTTGTGACCATGAAATGTTTCCTCATCAACAAGGAAGTTTTCCATAACATCTCATCTGATTTACCTTGAAACTCTCCCTAATGATCAGCACAAGATAAAATTATTTCAGTTTCAACTGGCCAAAATCCCAGAGTTGGTTACCAAAGACTCTTTGACCTTATCTCAAATTCTATGCTTAAAATGGTGTCTTGTGGTTGCAATTACTTATATATTGCATTACTGTATATCAAAGGGAAAGCTGGGTGACAGATTTCTCTCAGGTCATGCATGAGTAACCTAAATTTGATAATGATATTTTAGCAAGATTAAAAGCTATGAGATGTATCTATATTCTAAGTTCTGGGTGAATTTAGGAGTTCGGAGTTATCTAATAACAAAATATGGCTAATTTTCTTAACAGGAACTAATACAAGTTTAGATCATTTTATTTCATTTTTAGTAGAACAATTTAAGGTTCACACTGAAGATTTAAGGAAGAAAAATAATTTGGAAGTGTTACTAATTACTTCCCAATTTCATAAGATTACATTTCATTATAGGGCCACTGGGAATGACTGGAGTCTAAGGATACTTTATCAGACTCCTCTCAACTGGCAACCTTTCCTCAATGAATCCAAGTTAGAAGAGCAAGAGAATGTGAGGTCTGACTGAAAAAGAGGATAAAACATTAAAGTGACCACACAAAAAACCAGCTTTGTCATGAGACAGAAACATGTGCCAGAGGGGTTCATGTAAATGATTGATTTCATATAAGTGTTTTGAGTCTAGAATACCGTAAAACCATAGTATTTCTCAGAAACTGCAAACTCCTTGAAAGCAGAGATTGGTTTTTTGTTTTGGTTTTTACCCTTCTTTGTATCTTTAGCACTTAGCATAGTGCCTGGCACATAGTAAGTGATCAATAAATGCCTGTACGCTGATAACTGAGGAACTAAGAAATATTTTCCTACTAAGAAAAAAACAGAAAACTTTTTCCTGTGATTGAAAAGTTAAAAAAAAAAAGGTAGAGAGAATTTTCATCAAACAATTTCCTAGGCCACAAAAAATATTTTTCCCCTAAAATACCATGGAAGAAAGAGATGTTTACATGTACTCTGAACACCTGGAGTCAAGGGCTCAGACCCTGGTTCTTGAACGGTCTAGTCATTCTAGGCATCAACTTGGCCTTTATGTCCCTCTAGGGAATAATCTATTGGGCTGTAGTTGTGTTCCCTTAGTCCCAGTTCCTTACTCCAAAGACCCTTTGCTTTCTTTCTTTCTTTTTTTTTTTGCTGTCTTTAATAATATTTTATTGTTTTTCCAATTACATTTAAAAACAATTTTAAACATTCTTTTCTTTTTCATTTTGAATTCTAAATTGTCTCCTTCTTTCTCTCCTTCCTCTCTCCCCTCCCTGAGGCACCAAGCAATTTGATATAGGTTATACATGTGCACAGAAAACATAGTTCCATATTAGTCATGTGGAGAAAGAAAACATAGACTCGCCTCTCACAAAAAACACAAAAAAGTTTAAAAAAAATAGTATGCTTAGATCTGCATTCAGACTTCATCAGTTCTTTCTCTGAAGGTGGATAGCATTTTTCATCACAAGTCCTTTGGAATTGTCTTGGACAAAGATCCTTCTCTTTCATAAGGACAGGAAAAATAAGATTCAATTAAGAGATAATACCAAAAGACAGACAAAAAGGTATATAGATAAGACTATACCTATGTTTTACCTAATGTCAGATGTTATCAAAGGGCTTTTCTCTTTTAGTTAAATAGGAAACATTTTTTTCCCAAACCATTCCTCTAAAATCCAATAAAGCTGTAAGTCAATGGAGTTATAATTAAGTCTTTAGCTATTTTCTGCCTGGTCTTTTATATCTCTCCAGCACTGGCAAGATGCCTCTTCCAACTTTCATGTGCTGCATACCAATGAAGACATGAGTGAGTATAAGAATTTTTCACCTGATTTATTTATTCATTCTAGAGTTAGTAACTCAACACAGGAAATTCCTTTTCTCTGACCTTTCCCCTGCTTCCTATTGTACTTTCCTAGTGAACAAATGGCCTGGATTAACTTTTTCAAGAATGATGATGTCATCACCCAGTCAAGTGAAGCAAAATTATACCCGTAAACTACCCTCTGGGAGTAAAATCTCACCTAAGGAAGTTGAATTTGCCCCCATTTACTAAATGGCAGTTAATAAGTTATTTCTTTTTACATCTGGAAGTCAAATAATATATCAAATGCCATTACATGGTATAAATTAAAAACCTGAATTTTATTTATTGGTAGAGAAAGTAAGCATGCTTGGAAAAATGGCCTAGTGGATAGGGGAGCCAAAAGAAATGGAAAAATGGGGAATAGAAAAACATAATAGAGAATGTGAATGTTCATGAAAAATATAAATTCTCTGAATTCTTTGGAAATCTAAATATGAGATAGTTAAGTGTAGATAACATACAACACCCTATATAATAATATAACCATACTTTGCTTCTCTCTAGGTTTTTGTGACACTGTTTCTCTCTCTCTCTCTCTCTCTCTCTCTCTCTCTCTCTCTCTCTCTCTCTCTCTCTCTCTCTTTCTGTCTCTCACATCTCATCTCATCTCCTCCTACCTATCTGAACACTTTTTCTCAGTCTCCTTTGCTGGATCATCATCTAGGTCGTGTCTCCTCTATTCTTTTCTTCTCCCTCTCTACTATTTCATTTAGTAATCTCATCATTTCCCATAGATTCAGCTATCATTTCTTTGATAATGATTCTCAAGTCTACTTATTCAGCCCCAACCTCTCTGGTGACCTTCAATCTCACATCTCCAACTGCCTATTGGACACTTTGAACTGGATGTCCTGTAAACATCTCAAACTCAACATGTCACAATATCTTCCCCTCCAAACCCTATCCCCATCCAACTTCTCTATTACTGTTGGGGACATCACCATTTCCTCTGTCCCCTAGATTGCAACCTAGATATCATGCTCAACTATTTATTCTCTCTCACCTCCCATATCCAATCTGTTGCCAAGGCCTGTCAATTTTTACCTTCATAGCATCTCTCATTCAGGCTTCCTTCTCTGTTCTGATATTTCTATCAACCACCCTGGTTCAGGACTTCATCATTTCATATCTGGACTATATAATAAAGGGCTGATTGGTCTGCCTGACTGAAGTCTCTTCCCATTTTAGTCCATCCTTCATTCAGGCACCAAAATGATTTTCCCAAAGCACAGGTCTAATCATGTCATCTGCCTACTCAGGAAAGTCCAGTGGCTTCATATCACCTCCAGGATAAAATATAAAATCCTATGTTTGTCATACCTGTCCCCCCCATCTTTCTAGTCTTCTCACATCTCATATCCCATCACATTCTCCTTGATCCATTGACAATAGTTTCCTTACTGTTCTTCAAATCAGACATTCCATCTCCCATTTCCCAATTCCTGACCTTTTCACATGCTAACCCCATGTATAGAGTTCTTTCCATCATCACCTCTGCCTCCTGAGTACCCTAACTTCCTTCAAGTCCCAGCAAAGATCCCACCTTCAATAGGAAGCCTTTCCAAATTTCTGTTAATTCTAGTGTCTTCCCTCAATTAATTAATTCCTTTTACATAGTTACTTACACACTGTGTCTTGCACATAAACTGTGAGCTCCTTGAGACTAGGAACTCTCTTTGCCTTTCTTTTTATCCCCACTACTCTGCACAGCGTCTTGCACAGAATTGGTACTTAAATGTTTACTGACTGACTGGCTATTGAATTTTACATACCTAGAATAGCATGTGCCTCAACATATTCCTTTTGAGTCAATAGTGGATAAACTACTGATCTCTACATTTTCTCATTTTCTCATTATCATCAAGAGATTTATGTATAAGCAAATAATTCTTCTCTTAAAAAAAAATTTCAACTCTAACTCTGTTATATCCAAATGACTTGCAATTTCTTTAATAAGGCTCATTTACAGAAAGCCTTAAATATGCCCCATAACAAGAATGGAATAATTAATCCAAAAATATTTCATAAAATATATCCATTAATACTGCTTGATAGCCCCTATCTAGTCAACAAGAGATCTCTCAGGCTGTATTTCCATGATTCCAAATATCTGGACAAGTCAGTCAAAAAAAATTTAGACAATTCAGTGAAAAATAAGTCAGTCAAGCCAATTATTTGGTGTTAGGCAGACACAATATTCATTTGCTGAAGTGAATTTTCAACTGAATTGACTGATATTTTGGCATTGTATAGCCAGAACCAAAGGATTTCTTGGTGTATCCTTTCCCTCACAGAATGCATGTCTCTTTCATTTGCAGCTACTGCACCATACTTCTGACCTATACCCACTGGCCATGTGACAAGTGCATCCACATCTAAAGAATAACTACCCTCCTTTTTGTTTGGGCTGGATAGTTCTTCCTTCTTTTTCTGTCCTTGTTCCTCCTTTCAGACTTGGAATGGCAGTTCCTTGGCTTGGCCCACTGCCCCAGCCTGTGTCAGCACTCTCTCTTTTTCCACAATCATTTTTTTCCCTGATGGTTCTATGCCGAAACACACCTCACTGCCCTGCATGTGCCTCTGGATCTTATTACCAAAGTATAGGTCTGTAATGAGCCTCCCCAACCTCTCCACACATGAAATATAATTTTACCAAAGGTTCTTTTATGTATCTGTAGGACTAACATGGTGTGGGTCCACAGTGGGGAGGCATAAGCATTTCTGTCTTCCTGTTAACTATGATTTTCTCCAACTGATTCAGTTCCTCTAAATCCCAATTCTTTAAAAATGAATATTTTTAAACTGTAGGTCCCCCATATGGAGTCATGACCCCACAGTTTAAGAAGCACTGAAGGAGTCATGGGTAGAAAAAGTTTAAGAAGCCCGGGAATAAATTACTGAACCACAGAATTAATTTAAAAGGGAGGGGCAGAGTAGTATGGAGGCATGACATCTAATTCTAAATTTGACATTAATGGTTTAACCTGACTTCCCAACACCTATAAACTTCCCTACACAGTAACATCAGGTACAGAGTAGACAGCTATTACTTCTCTTTAATTTATCTCCTTTTTCAGTATTCAGTAGTACTCTTCTAGGAATCCTAGCCTTACAATATGAGACCCATGAAGATTCATATGCCATTCTATTCCTTCATGATGACTTTTGGGTGAATTTATATATTCTTCTGTGCTTTGTCAAGGGCAGCTAGGTGGCACAGGGAATAAAGTTCTGGGGCCTAGAGTTAGGAAGACATGACTTCAAATCCAGCCTCAGACAATTACAAGCTGTGTGACCCTAGGCAAGACCTTTAACCCTGTTTGCCTCAGTTTCCTTATCTGTAAAATGAGCTAGAGAAGGAAATGGCAAACCACTTTAGTCTCTTTGCAAAGAAAACCTCAAACAGGGTAACCAAGAATTGGACACAACTGAATAACAATAACAACAAAGTGCTTTGTCAAGGAAAAAATGTGCACAAATTCATATGCAAGTCAGCATGAAGGAACTTGATTCTTCTGGGAATCTGAATGGAGTGTAAAACATTTCCAGTTAAAATACAATCCCGTTAAGTTATTAACAAATCAATGTTAACAAATAGTTTATTAAAGAACTAGGATTTATGGCTTATGGAGTAATTTATTTGTAATAAAGTTTCCAACTACAGAGAATAGATTTTCTTTGTCAATAAAATATTTACTAATTGGATTAAGTGACATGATTAAAGAAAATATTTGATTTTAAAGCAACTTAGATGTCATCTAGTCCAATCTCCTCATTTAACAGATGAGGAAACTGAGCCCCAGGGTCACAATGATTTATCCAAGGTCACAAAAGTTGTGAAGAATCAGAGGTAAGATTTGAACCCAGGTGATACACATTCCAGAGGGCTGCCACTAGACTGAGTTATAAACATGCTAATATGGGTTAGGTTATTTCCATCACCTCAGTTCTTTCTTCTTTAATATTTTACCTCCTTTTATTATACCTTCTTCCATTTCAATAGAATGAAATTGAGTAGATTAGGGACAGGGCCAGGATGGTGGAGTAAAAGCAGTGACTTGCTTGAGCTCTTCCCCAAACCCTTCCAAATACCTGTAAAAAAATGGCTCTAAACAAATTCTAGAGCAGCAGAACCCACAAAAAGACAGAGTGAAACAAATTTCCAGCCCAAGACAACCTGGAAGATTCACAGAAAACTTCTCTTGCACAGGGCTGGGAGAGCAGTGCAGTTCAGCATGGGCCACACACCTGGGCCTCAGAAAACCTGGAGCAGGCCTCAGGAGACTGAATCATGGGCAGCTATGATGGTTTCCAGACTTCTCAACCCACAACTTAGAAGTTCAATAGGAAAGGCCTTTCAGACTGTGGTGAGAGAGGAGCTTGGTTCGGCCCCAGTACCAGTGCAGCCCCAGGGCAGCAGCTGCTTCCAGAGCTCTCAGCCCACAGACTGAGGGGGGGATCAAGTGGCTGATCAGAAGGGGATTGCAAGGATCTCTTTGCTGACACTAAGGCAGGATTCTCTTACTTTGCCTGTTCTTGGGTCTGGGTCAAAGTTCTACGTGGCGGTCCTGGGGTGAGGAGGAGTGCTGGAATGGTGGAGCTTGTTAGTTCCCTAGAAGTATCTCTGAAAACAGCTGCCCAAAATCCCCAAAGCTTAGGACAGTACATTCTCCAGACCCCTACCTTAACAAAGAGTTTAAAACTCAAGTAATTGGCTGGCAACATGAGCAAACAGAGCAAAAGAAGTCAGACCACAGAATCTTACTTTGGTGACAAAGAAGATCAAAACATACAACCAGAAGAAGACAACAAAGTCAAAGCTCCTACATCCAAAGCCTCCAAAAGTCTCAGGCCATGGAAGAGCTCAAAAAGAATTTTGAGAAGCAAGTAAAAGAAGTAGAAGAAAAACTGGGAAGAGAAATGAAAGTGATGCAAGAAAATCATGAAAAAGAAGTCAACAGCTTGCTAAAGGAGACCCAAAAAAATACTGAAGAAAATAATGGACTAATCCAAATGGCAAAAGAGGTCCAAAAAGCCAATGAGGAGAATGCCTTAAAAAGCAGAATTGGCCAAATGGAAAAGGAAGTCTAAAAGCTCACTGAAGAAAATACTCCCTTAAAAATTAGAATGGAGCAAAGGGAAGTTAATGACTTTATGAGAAATCAAGAAATTGTGAAACAAAACCAAAAGTATGAAAAAATAGAAGACAATGTGAAATATCTCCATATTTTAATGGATGGACCTCCTGAGTCTCGCCTTGGTCTAGGCATGTAGAAGAGTGGCTCAGAAATGCTGAAGAAGACCAATCACTTTATAGGGAGGGAACTGGGACTCGCTCAGATACCACAGATTAATTTTTCAAAACTAAGGACATAAGCAAGGACACTCTAACTGGCAAGATCATTTGGAAAATGAAAGTTTCTAGCACGCAAGGTTCCCTGCAGATTCCAAAGAAAGGAGAGGACACCCTAGCAGAAGAAGGGGATGTACTAAGGTGGAGACACAACCAGTTGCTGGGCCAGAAAAACTGTGTTTTTTCCCCCCATGCTACAACATTAGTTTCCTTGCTTGGGAAATGTAAATAAAAATAACTGAAATATCAATTTCACAGGGTTGTGGAAGACTTGAAAGAGACAATATACAGCAACTAACACTTTGCCAACCTCTGAGTGCTATGTAAAGATTAATTATTACTCTTATAAACCCATAGAAAAATTAATTTTATTTTTTATTTGAATTTTTTATTCTGAACTTAACAAACATCAGATAAAATCAGCAATTCCATATGCAAAATAGAAAAGTAAAAGGATTGTACATGAAATCATGAATCTCTGTTTCATCAGGCTTGTTTTCTTTTTAAATATGTAATAAATTCAACATGTAACTTTCAAAAAAAAGAAACTGAGTAGATTAATAAAGAAATGGAAACAGTTCTTTATAGATGAAAGTATAGAGTCAACTTTGGAGTATCTGAACTAATGATGGGAAATAATGAATAATAAATAATCATAAATAATCCAAAAGATGTGGATACTTAGTTTAACCCGGGAGGGGTGGGGAACCTGCAGCCTTCAAAATTTGGACTCAGTCAAAGGGCCACACTTGAGGACCTAGAGGACCACATGTGGCCTTGGGGCCACAGGTTCCCACCCTGAGTCCTAGAGGGAACGTTTTCTTTTTTTTTTCTTTTTTTTTTTTTTTTTGCAACAAATGATCTGCCTAATTAATGACAGCTTTAAAGCTCTTTAGCTGGTGGGGAGTCTAATAAGCTTCTTTGCAACAGTGCCTGAATGTGGCAGCAGGATGTAGTTGGGGGGGGGGTGAGCAAGAAACTCCTTTGTCCTCTCTCTCCCTACTGCCCTCCTAGGGTTTCAGGCTGGGGCTCCAAACTTTCAGTGCTGATGGTGGATGAACTCCATTGCCCCCAAAGCAAGTTCTATCCCATAAATTAATTTTCATTCTAGACAACACATCCGCTGATTTTAAAAAAGATACATATCTACTGAATCACAGAAGAAAGCCAGGTTGAAATAATAAATCTACATTAAAATCATTAATAAAATAAAAATGAATCCTCATTAACAAAATTCTCCATTAATTCTCCATTAGCAGTTCGAAATGACACTTCCAAAAAGGCTTATTTATTATTAGGCATTATTTACCCATTTTCTGAGTTGTATAATGTCATTGTATCATATGTACATAGCACAAGCTCTGATCAATAATTTGGGTACCTGATAAATCCCTTGAATTATGATCAAAGAGTATTATTTTGGAAATAACTCAGCATGGTAAATCATTAAAGATTCATACATTAGCATCACTTGGAAGTCTCCTCTGACATTAAAAATCAGCTTATATGGTTCAGGCTTCGAATGTAGCACAACTGTGCTGGAGGCATCTTCTTAGCATTTCCAGATAGGAATCTGGATGCAAAAGAAGAGGGAAGCAGGGCTTGTGATCACTTGATAGCGAGAATGCAATTTAGAAAAAAATAACTTACCACTGTCACAGCATCATTCAACAGTGACTCTCCAAATACCAGGATGTAAAGTTGTTCATTGACATGAATGTTCTCAAAGACTGCAAGCACCGCCACGGGATCCACAGCTGAAATCAAGCTGCCAAAAAGCAGGCTTTGTAGCAAAGTGATGTCAGTCAAGCCAAATGCTTCAATCTGGCAGATGCCAAACAGAGAGATCCCAATGCCAATAGAATTCCAAAGGGTCCCTACCACAGCATACCAGAATATGGTGCCGATGTTCTCAAAGAAGGACGGGTTGGCATAAAATATCCTGCATCAAGAACTATGGGTGGAAGGAGATATAAGAAAAATACATCTGTCTTCATCGCAGGTGGAGACTTTTCATCTACTCCAAATATAATCCCACCTAATAGAAGTCCAACCATGATAAGAAGGCAGCTTTCAGGCACTATGGTAGGCAACTTGTGATAGAGGTGAAAGCCTGCGAGAAAAAATAATAACAAAAAATTATTTGTGGTTATCTAAACATTATTCTCATGAAGAGCCCTAACTTGTCTTTTTAAAAAAAAAGTTTTCAAAATCAGCAAAATAGTATATTCAAAGCTTTTTCAATGCATGATATTAAGCAGAATTCCACTCCCCCTCTCCTTATTGAGTACATTCATGCTGAGTTAAAATTAGAAGGTAGAATTTTATAGTTAAATCATTACATAGTTTGGGTTTTGTTCTTTAGCACACAATTCTCATTAAGAACTGTATAAATATTGGACTGGGAGAACTGGATAAAATTCTGATATTCATCCTAGTTTTATACATACTTGATTTTTTTCATTTAATAATCTTAAAATGAAATAATGTTCAGCATATTTTTAATGAGACACACTCCAAAAAGCAAAGTCTATTCGCTATAGAGAAAACTTGTAAGAGTGGGCAGAATGTGGTACTTGAAGTCAGGAGTAAGTTCAAAATCTGCCTAACTGCTTGAACATGAACAAGTCACTTATCTTTTCTGAGGCTTATTTTTCTCATCTATGAAATGAAGACAATAATACCTGTTATACCTACCTCATAGAGTTGTTAAGAGATTAACCTTAAAATAGTATATGAATGTCCTTTATTATTATTCAGAATCTGTCACATAAAACACAGAAACTCAAATATGATCTATTACAATGTAAGAATCAAGGATTTGGAAGAGCTTATATTATGATCTCAGAAATCTCAGATATGTGATTTTATTTTTCTTATGTTCTGAAGCTCTGCCCTTAATATATTGTGAACTATAATAACTGATGATATTATGTGTGGTTGAAACAGTCTGAAGAACTGAAAAGGAAATTAGCATTTTTAAATAAGACTTTTGAGACCAGCATTTATTCTCTTAAAAAAAAACAAAAAGCTCTGTATGAAGTTATAATAGGTAGTATATAAAGATCATCAATTGCTCCAGCTGCTCAGTGCTTATGGCCTTCTGTCTAATGACTTCACTGACCAACAGAGAAGGAAAATAAATCCATTAACAACCAGGCCTCAATGGGCTTTCAGGATATTGAACTAAGTGATGCCATTTACCCACAGCTATCATTATGTAATTGAGATGAAGAGGATAATAGCAGACCTCAATTCTCCCCAGGGCTGCTGTCAAGGATAAAATAAGAAAACCACCTTTGCTGGAGTGTAATATGGAGCAAGGCTCAAAAATGCAACTCCAGGGTTTCCCATTGTCTAAGCTGAAGGCCTATTTAACTGCTGAGATCGGCTGAGACACCATCCCTCTAAGACACAGAGGCAAATGGGAAGGCAACAAAGAAAAGAAACCTATAGTAGCAAGCACATTGCCTGGCTATATCCAGATCATGGCTCTTCTACTGTGGCCTTCATCTCTACCTTCTCTGCTTCTGGAACCAACTTGGGCTCTAATGGGGATGAAAATGGGGGAGAAAATCCAAGTAGAATCCAAGATTTCATTTCACTTCCCTGACTTCTCCAATGTATACCTTCCAGCCCCTTTCTAGTACCTCTTTATGTCTTGTCTTCTGCCTAGAATGTAAACTCCCTAAAGGAAAGGAATACTTTGTTTGCTTTTATTTATATTCTTAGTATTTATCACAGTGCCTGGCATATCATATGGTGTGCCCACATGACCTGTGGTAGAACATTCTGGGCTTGTATTGGTGTGATCAGCCACAGTCGGACACAGTTTACCTTGACCCCAATATAATGATATCATTTTGGTCCTCTTCAATAACAAAGGACAACAGCCAACAAATTCATCCATCCATCTATCTATCCATCCATCTATCATATCCATCAATTTATCTATCTATCCATCTATCTATCTAGGCAAAACCATATATTTCACCTTCACTTCTACTTTCTGTGTCTTTTTCCTCCCTTTTTAGTGCACCCCAAATCTAGAGACCTATTGTTTCTAAAGTGCCTCTCCTTCTAGGGCAGAAAAACCTTAATAAAGTAATTCACACTAAGGCATTAGTAGTTTTAATGCAGTAACCTCTTCCCACAATGAATATATATTTTTAAGGGTCACCATAAAGAGAAAAAGTATTGTGAAAAGCAAATCTCTAACAACAGAAATCCAGAAACTACGACATCTATATGAAGGTAAGTATAGTCTCTTTTATATCACACTATACAGACCAAATGGCCTACCATCTCTAGATGTTCATAAAGTTGGTACTGGTCACATTGTCTTGAGAAGAGAAATTAACCAAAGAGAAAAATCCCAGAAATACAGAACAGGGAGTACAAGAAACTGGAAGTAGACTGTGTGATTAATTGGTTCAGATAAAGGGAATCTAGCAAGCATAGTCAGAAAAGATGATGATTAGGTATTACAGGAATAAAATTGGTAATAGCATGAACAAGAAAAAGAAAGACTATTGAAAGCGGGTAAATATTTATTTAATGGTATAAAGTCACAGCAGTTCTCTGGCAATTATTCCTATCCATTTTTTTAAGTGGGTTCTTCTTTCATCATTTACAAATGCTTTGATCATTCAGTTTAAGGCTCTAATAACTGAATTTTTAAAAAATGAAATACTAAAATGAATGAATGCATTGGCCATGATGCTCCACAGTTAATAAAGGATTAAATAACTTTGACTCATTCATGGGTAGCACAGGCAAGCACAATTTTTTTGAGATTTGGTGGCTCAAAACACAACAAAACAAAAATTCATAATGTATTTAAATTTCATTGGCTTACCTAATAGAAGAAATGAATTGGACCCCCCCCCAAAAAAAAGGTTTATATGAGCAAAGGGAAACTAAGTTTGCATGGAATACCACTATTCTTCCTGATAACTTTTTTTTTGTCCAGATTCAAAGTAGAGCACTGATTGCAATAGTTTTTGAAGTTATTTATAGGAATTCTTTTCAAGCCATATCCTCTCTAAGTCTTGGCTAGTATTTGTCCTCAAGTACCAGAGAATAATGGGATTTAGAATTAAGAGGGACCTTAGAGATTATCTGGTTCTAGTCTAACCTTTCACTAACAGATAAAGAAACTGAGGTGCACAGAGGTTGAAAGACTTGCCCAAGGTGACATTACTAACCTTTTTATATCATTTACAACGCAGTATATTTTCTTTGTTCAGGTGCTCATTACTTTACATTTCTGGCTCACTTCTAGTTAGAGTATCCTGGGCACTGAGCCCTGTTTCATTCAATTTTTATTATGGGGACATAAAACTCTGTGAATATGAGTGCTTTACAAATGATTTACTGTCCTACTTTCTTTGCAGCAGAAACTCATTAAGCTGGAAAAGAGACAGGACTATGTGTCTTTTTACCTACTCAGAGGAGGAACTATCCTCTCTTGTAACTGAATCATGTTAAAATTTCTTGTCCGTAAGTTGTAAGTGTTTATGGTAACACAGCATTCATCAGATTTTTAGAACATGCTTATTGAAAATCATTTGAGCCTGATGTTTGAGCACTTGGTTTTAATTTTATTGTTACCTTCCTGTCTCATATCTCAGGCTGTAGTGGACTTTCTGAGCCTGGAGATAAAGGATTATTTGTTGTAGTTCAACCCTTTCAGACTATTCATTGTCCCATTTTGGGGATTTCTTGGCAAAGATACTGGAGTGGTTTGCTATTTCCTGCTCCAACTGAGGAAACTGAGGCAAACAGGGTCAAGTGACTTGCTCAGCTAGTTTGAGGCAGGATTTGAACTCAGGTCTTCCTGACTCCAGGCCTGATGCTCTACCTTTTGTGCCACTTAGCTGCCCCAAAGGATCATAGGACAGATTTAGACCTAGAAGGGCCCTTATAAGTCATTGAGTTCAACTCTCTCATTTTACAAATGAGGGAACTGATACCAAGAAAGAGTAAGTGACTTGCCCAAGGTTTCACAGACAGGAGGAATTCACACCCTGTTTCTTTAACTCCAAATCCAGGAGTTTTCTAGCTACCTTACACTGCCTCCATAATGCTTTCCACAATATTTCCAGATGTTGGGTATCATCAGTGGAAATTTTATTTTCTTTCAGCTTACTGGTCATTTAGCAATCATCTATTAAGCACCTGTTATGCACCAGGCATGTGCTGGATGCCTATAATTATTAAAATCAGACGTTTGTGTTCATTTGCTTTTCTTCTAAAGAAATTCAAAGTGCTTTTGTAGCTCCCTAATTTCCTATATAACATTGAGGCAGAGGGTGAAGACATCATTTCACAGCAACGTAGTTACAAGAATTGCCCAGAGTTCCATTATTTCAATGTATTCAAAGGCACTCATTAAGAGTGCTGGCACTGGAGATACCCAAAATAAAGGGAAACAGTCCCTGTCCTCAAGGAGCTTACATTTTAATGGGAAGACAATATGCTCATATAGAGGTATATATAGAACATATATAAAGTAGAAACAATGCAATTTCTGGAGAAAGGCATTACCAGTTTTCTTCAGAAGACAGCACTTGAGCTAAGTCTTCTATGGTAGATGTTGGCTGTGGACTCAATTTTCAGAATACTAAAAACACAGAGCTTTCAATCTCATTAATCCCTAAAGAATGTATCCCCATTTCTTTTTCCTGCTTTTATCTGAATCCATCAATCAACCAACAAGCAGTGACTGAGAGTCTGCTACCTATCAGAACCCATGCCAGGTGTGGGGAATACAGGGACAGAAGACAACCAGTCCTTGCCCTCAAGGATTTGGCATTCTATGAAGGAGACATGTACGTATAAAAATACATTAGTATATATTATATGTTATGATATATTAATATATTACAGTGATACATCATATATCAATATATTGCATATAGCACAACATACAACCTGTCATCATATGTGTCATATATAATGACATTATATTACAATATAACCTACAATATATCATGTCATGTTGTCATGTGTAATGTGACATATAATATATTATAAGCTATATTCATATATCATATCATGTTAGCATATTATGAATCATAATAGTATATTAATATCATATGGAATATATAT